ATCACAGGGACACATAGAGACAAACAAACATTCACTCTCTCACTCACACCTAGGGACAATTTAGAGTTACCAATCAGCCTAACATGCATGTTTTTGGTCTGTGGGAGGAAACCGGAGCACCCGGAGAAAACCCACGCATGCACGGAGAGAACATGCAAACTTCACCCAGAAAGGCCCCTGGACCGGGGTTTGAACCAGGGACCTGTTCGCTGAGAGGCAGCAGCTCTACCAGTTGCGCCACCGTGCTGCCCTAGTTCATATCTTAGATGTTATTACTGTTTTTCTAATACATTTTATTGTTGGATGTAACTGGGACCCTGTGTACATAATTTCGCTCCACCACATGTACCACATGAGGTGCGAATGACAATAAAGAAACTCTGACTCTGACTCTGACTCTGACTTACTTTTGCGGACTTGCTCTATCACTGTTTTTCAAAGTAAGATTGAACATGAGAAAAAAACATTTACAGGATGCATGATTGTCAATTTTAATATTTTAATATTACATAATTGGGACCGTACTGGATACTGCACAGTAAGAAGTTAACATAAAAATAAAATACTTCAGACAGGTGCCGCCATTTTGTAGTTTTCTCTCAATAAGCCTATACTGGCAGCACGGTGGCGCAACTGGTAGAGCTGCTTCCTCTCAGCGAACAGGTCCCTGGTTCAAACCCCGGTCCAGGGGCCTTCTGGGTGGAGTTTGCATGTTCTCTCCGTGCATGCGTGGGTTTTCTCTGGGTACTCCGGTTTCCTCCCACAGACCAAAAACATGCATGTTAGGCTGATTGGTAACTCTAAATTGTCCCTAGGTGTGCGTGAGAGAGTGAATGGTTGTTTGTCTCTATGTGGCCCTGTGATGGACTTGCGACCTGTCCAGGGTGTACCCCGCCCCTCGCACAGTGATTGCTGGACATGGGCACCAGCGACCCCCGTGACCCAAAATGGAATAAACGGGCAAAGATAATGGATGGATGGATAAGCCTATACTGGATCCCCGCTCATAAGGACTACATTTGCCAGAAGCCAACAGCGCCCCACCCAGAAGCCCTGGTTCCTTCTGCTGAAATACGTAGAGAGAAAGTTTTGATCTGATCAGAAAAAGTTTGGCGCTTATTACAGTGACTTCGGCGCCCAGCAGATGCAGAGAGCCGGACGGAATCCACCGAACCAGAGCAGAACCAGACCTCCAGACCTCCAGACCCATTGGTGAATCTTGAGAGCTTGTAGCCGGCCCACAAGGACTCCAAGAGGGACGTGCACCGCCAAAGATCCGGCGCTCCATCCGGAGCCCACTGCCCCTACCCTGAGCCAGAGAGCCGATCAGAACTGGCAGAGAAGGTCTGCAGAAACGGACAAGTCAGACCGGAACCAAGCTGCTGATGTTCTGCAGAGCTAGTAGTAAAATGCAGTAGCTACATATAAGTATGTTGTTAAAATTAGTAGGCTTAAGATTTTAGAACATTGTGGGCTTCATTGCTGCAGGGTAGGTCTGCAGAACTGGAACTGAGTTGGACCGGAACCGAGTGGAACCGAGAGCTGTTGCTGTTCTACCGAGCTGGTGGAGAAGAGGTTCCTTGCAGACCAAAAGCGGGCGTTTCTGGAGAATAGGTGTTTGTAGAGAACAAACACTGATTGGCTAAATGTATTTGCTGCTCTTTAGGTAAGTTACATCAGTTCTTTTTAAAAACTGAAGGTTTCTAAGAAACAGCGTTATATCTGCTGTCAAACACAAGAAGATTCTCTTTAGTCCTTGGGTTGTAGGCTGCACCTGACACAGGTTGGCCTGAGTGTCAGAGCCAGAGATTCTTTATTGTCGTTCGCACCACATGTGGTACATGTGGTGGAGCAAAATCATGTACACAGGGTCCCAGTTACATCCAACAATAAAAATGTTAGAAAAACGGTAATAAGATCTAAGATATGAAGTAAGAAAAACATCAACTAAAAATACACTAAGCACTAATAGCATAAAAACATTACGTCGAACCGCAGCACAAACATCAGCATGAGTCTGTGTGAGCAGATGAGCACACATGAACACAGCAACATGAAACAGATCAGCAGCAACATGAAACAAATCAGCAGCAACACAAAACAGATCAGCAGCAACATGAAACAAATCAGCAGCAACACGAAACAGATCAGCAGCAACATGAAACAGATCAGCAGCAACATGATGTGATTTTTCACAGTGATTATTCTGGTTAGAGATTCATGAGTCTAACAGCCTCAGGGTAGAAGCTGTTCCTCAGTCTAGTGGTTCTACACTTAATGCTCCTCAACCTCCTTCCTGAGGGGAGCGGGTCAAAAAGTGTGTGTGCTGGGTGAGTGGGGTCCTTCATGATGCAGGTGGCCCTCTTCCTGCATCTGGAGTTGTAAATGTCTGTGATGGTGGGGAGGCTGACTCCAACAGTCTTCTGTGCACCCAGAGTGTAGTCTGGGTACAATGAAATATGAAGCATCTGAAACGAAACCTGCTCCCATTTGTCAAAAAGTCTGGTCTCAATTAAAGATCATGAGTCCTGTAATGAGATAATGGCCCAAAACAAAAGCTAAAAACAAAATTTGCTCTTTAGAAGTGTCTTCTATGAGATCTGTTCTATGAAAGGAGCTGAAACATGAAGTAGGGTTGACCCTTAAAATGTGAGACAGCTGAGGAAGTTAACCAGTAAACAAAATACCTGCTCCAGTTGCAGAAATCTTACAGAAACTGACAATCACTCATCTGTAGTGACTGCAGGTTGAACAAGAAA